TTGTCCTGGCTACTTCCATTCCTAGGAAATATTTGAGATTTCCTAGGTCTTTGATTTCAAATTCCTTGGCTAGGAATTTCTTGAGTTTCTCCATTTCAACTATGGAATTGCCTGTAGAATAATATCATCTACATACACAATTAGAATGACTATTTTACCAATGGGGAACTGCTTGGCAAAGAGAGTATGATCTGCTTGACATTGAGTGTACCCATTCTCCTTTAGAACTTTGGAAAACTTGTCAAACCAGGCATGAGGGGACTGCTTCAACCCATATAGGGATTTCTTTAGTTTGCGGACTCTATTGGATGCTGTAGGAGATTCAATCCCAGGAAGAATGTGCATTCTTGACTCTAATTAGTGGAGAGGCCAATCCAAGTTGGTTGCCAGAGAAAGAACATGAATTGTGTTGAGCTTCGTAATAGGTGCAAAGGTTTATTGATAGTCAATCCCATAAGTTTGAGTGAATCACTTCGCCACAAGTCGGGCTTTGAATCTTTCCACACTTCCATCTACTTTATACTTGACTGTAAAGATCCACTTACACCCAACCGTCCGTTTTCCTGGTGGTAGTTCTGTGAGTTCCCATGTCTTGTTTTTCTCTAAAGCGTTGATTTCTTCAAAGATAGATGCCTTCCATTCAGGTACCTGAATAGCTTCATGAACATAGTTGGGTACCTGTCTGTATCTGATCAAGAGTGCTGATGAAAGCCTTATAACTTGGTGAGAGATGCTTGTAGGAAACAAAGTTACAGATAGGGTGATTTGTGCAAGACCTTACACCCTTCCTCAAAGCAATTAGTAAATCCAAGTCATTAGAAGGCATATTAGGAACCAGTTCAGTAATACGAGGTTCAGAGATATTTGGCGGCAGAGTAATGGGAGATTCAGAGGTGTTACCTTGATCACTGTTGAGGTGACTTGTACTCGGGTTGGACTCCTGGACTGGCTCAAGATATGTTCGGTTCTCCATTCCCTTTTGAGTTCTTCCCCTCCTAGAAGAGTAAACATGAAGATCACTGTTTGGGGCATGAGAATCATTTAGAGTACCATTTTGAGTTTTTGTTTGAGATTGTGTTTGAGACGTTGACTGACTCTCAAGAATTTGAGGAATTTGAGATTTGGATGAAGAGAATGGTTGAGTGAGAATACCATCCCAAAGTTGATATTCATCTATGTTCTCCCCCTGAATGATAGCTTTGGGATAATATGGAGTTTGTTCAAAAAAGGTGATATCCATAGTATTGTAGAAGCGCCTTGTAATAGGGGAAAAATATTTATATCCTTTCTGATTGGGTGAATATCCTAAGAATATGCATTTGATGGCTCTGGGATCAAGTTTGCCTCTGTGATAAACATGGACATATGCACAACACCCAAATATTTTAAAAGGAATGCTTGATACAATTCTGCAATGTGGATATGACTCAGGAAGAGTGGCGATAGTGTCAGATTTGTCAGGATATCATGTTGAACCAGAGCTGCTTTCTGTAGCCTTATCATTTCCTCCAGATGAGGCTGTAAAGCCTCAGCTTTCCCCAGGTTGTCACTGGCGCCAGCGTTCTCGTGCTGGTTTCCAGTCCGGTGGCTTCCCATGAATCTCCCAGCATGTGTCCTTGGTGTGTCCATTGCGTTTGCAGTGATCACACCACGGTCTGTCATTCCTCTTATTTCGGCTCTCTCCACTAGAACTAGGATTTTTCCTAACAACCAGCGCTGACTCTTGGTGTGGTGGTTCTATAATAGGTTGAGAATTACTTTCCTTTCGGCCAAGCATCACTCTTTGTCGTGCTTCTTCACGTCTCACTTCTGCAAAGGCCTCCTTAATTTTTGGGAATGGTTTGAAACCAAGTACACGTCCACAAACTTCATCGAGTTCCTTGTTGAGTCCGAGTAGGAAATCAAACTCGTTCTTTGTCAAGCATCTTCTTGAATTTTGCACTATCGGTAGAGCAGCTCCAATTGAAATCCTAGTACAAATCCAATTCCTGCCACAATACTTGTAATTCATTATAGTATTTGGTTACAATGAGATTACCTTGCCTTTTTCTCTTAAGGCTGATTTTAGTTCAAAAATTTGGGCTGAATTCCCAAGATCGAAATACATCTCCTTTACCATCTTATATTCCTGAATCGTTCATTCTAATCGACATTTTATAATTCCATAAATAAATCTATTTTCTTTTTTTTCTTTAAATTTAGAATTTAAATAATATTATTAATAATTTCAATAATTATTAATAATGTTAATATTATTTTATTTAATAAATCTTTTTTTTTCTTTTTTTTCTAAGAATTTGGTTTGGGGGGCAAGCTGAATCGCTTTATTAATGATTCGATGAAATAGTTTGGATCTAAATTGCATTCGTCGTCTTGTAGTAAAGGTAGACACGGCTGATTGCAAGTTCCATTGAGTTTAACAGCCACGCCTTCACCATTGAGTCCTACAACTTCCATTTCTTGTATGCAGGCGTCCCGATTTCAGGCGGTGTTGCTTCTCCAGTCAAGTAGGCTAGCCGCCCTTTTCCATCAACAACAAGGACGACCGATTGGGACCATTTGACATAGTTTGCTCCGTTTAGTTTGTGCTACATGATCTACAATGAGTGACTATCATTGACATTGATGATTTGTTGTGATCCTCCTTGGGAGTTCTGAGTTGTTTGCAAGATGTGCTCGCTGGTGGCTTCGGAGGCAGCTTCATGAGGAGCCCTTGTCATGGCGGTTTTCGCCATCAGGAATAAGAAACTATTCCTGCTCTAATACCATAAAGGTTTTTCAGAGAAATGATAAAATCTTTATTTTATATGACACACCTTTTACAACTATTCTTTCTCTTTAAATAGAGAAGAACAGAAGACCACAATCACTCAAGGAAAAAAATCCCGGTGATTTCTTTCCTAAAATAAGAAAATCACAATTCTAATTATCCTAAAAAGTACCAAATATAACTCTAGAAATCAGGAAACTAATTTACACAAAATCAATCAAAGAAAGTAACCAGATTTCTTTCCAATCACTCGGTTTTCTCTACACCCCTTTGCGATTTTCCTCGGCACGAATTAGAGAGATTGCTTCATTCAGAGATGGCAATTCTTCTTTGCCTAAAATCTAAACGCTAACTTGATCCAAATTAACATTAAGTCCTGCAAGAAAATCATAAACTCGACCTTTCTCGATGAAGTTTTTCAGAATTGCTGCATCTTCGGGCATTTGGTTTCAATACACCAATAGTGGTCAAGTTCCTGCCGCAGATTTTTCAACAAGTTGGCATATTCAGTCACGGTTTTGCTACCTTACTTCGTTCCGCTAACCTTGACTTTGATCTTAAAATTTGTGCTGCATTGCGAGCTTGCGAGTATGTTTGTCGAATGGTGTCCCAAATCTCCTTTGCCGTGGATAAGAACATGACAGTGTCACTGATTTTTGGATTCACGGAATTCCATAACCAGGACATAATCATAGAGTCTGCTTCATCCATGCTCCAAAACTCGGGTCATCCTTCTTTGGTCCTGTCCCGAGAAGATGACTTAGCTTTCCTTTCCCCCTATTCGCACAAACTGAGACCACTTTAAGTAGTTTCTCCTGTTCAACCTATACGCTGCCTGCATACTTTGGAGATCTCCAGACGTTTGTTGCATTGTAGATTCCTCAAATTGTGCAGCAGTTTTGGAAGATGTAACCTCAGACATGTTGTTCAGGCTAAGGGAAGAATTGAAGGCAGGAAATAACAAAAGTCTCTGAAAAAAATGGCTGGCGAAGAATGAGAGTAGAGAATGTTTTTATCTCTTATGAATAAGAACATTTACAACCCTATTTCTACAACATTAGGATCGGCTAAAGAAGGAAAAACTTCCTAGAATCCTATCTACCATAATGATCCTGATAATTAGCCTAAATTACTATAACTCAAACTATAATACAATCAATTAGAATCAATCATAATCATCAATTACAATCAATCATTATCATTCCAAATCAGTCATTACGGGATTCCTATAATCAGCCTGGGATTTCTACAAAAAAACAAACGGCAATAGGCAGCAAATTGGTAGGAATTTCTGGCAATGAAGTCCGGAAATAACAAGGGCTATGAAGGCCGAAAACTTTCCCAGATTCTATGGCTCTGATACCTTGTGGTTTTGAGAGAAAACTATCTTGTATTAGTTGAGCCAAAAACATGGCTATATATACACAAGTATACACGGTATATAGGCTGTTATTACTGCTGTGATTACAGCAGAAAAAGGAAAAAATCACCTATTCAAAACAGGAAACTAATTACACATTAAACCTAGGAAGTCAACTATCTACTTTCCTAAAACATATCTGGATTCTTTCCTATTCTCCAACAGCTCCAAATCTTTTAGCATTTCTTTGGGATTAGATGGGGTTCAATCAAGTTTGGTGAGAGCATGATTCAATTAGGAAACTTTTTCTTACTTGTTCAATTGATGCAGCGTTCTGGTAAAGTGATGATGGAAAATTTTAGTTATTCTAATATGAGACAGAGATCAATAGAAGGGAATTGATTTCATTTTTTCAGTAATTACATTTATAATGACAAGAAAAGGCAATAAATACTATTGGATTGACATTGCCCTTCTTGTGGTCACATTAATTCTTTTATAGTTGTACAATTGCTTTGCGTCACCAGAATTCGTCAAAGCTTGACCGAAGACTTTAAAAATCCGACGCATTCTTTTGATATAAGTGAACTATCAATATTTGATTGTAATTGGCATTGAACTTGTTTTTGGATTCCTCAGGGCCATCTTTAGTTTCCTTTTTTAGCTTTATAATGAAATTTTTTTTGAATTTCCCAATTATGAGAATCGAGCAAACGAACCTAGTGAAATATGGAGGAAGATCAATGGCATCTTTGTTGTTGGTCCTAAGCTCTCATTCACAAGCCAGGCAATATCGTCCACACGAGAAAAGAAAAGGGAAACCCATGGTTTTGGTTATGTGGCAAAAAATTTGAATTTCAAAAGTGATAATCAAAAATCCTGGCGGGCCCCTAATTTTCGATAGCACCATACAATATCGTATGCATCATGGTTGGCTACAGGAAGCTGACCTGTCACCACTGTGGAAGTTCCAGTTGCTGTATCTCCCATAGTATAGGCATAGATACGAGCTTGGGGTTCCGGAGCTTCCAATCTTCCCTGAGAAATCTGGGGTCCGTCAATCGTGGCTTGAATTGCATGCAGTTGATTCCCTGAGGCTCTCGGCTGATTCTGAACTCTCTGTTGATTCTGATTCGCTCGATTCTGGGGGTTGGAATAACAATCCTTGGAAAAATGGCCCTCTTTGCCACATGTGAAACAAATGTTTGTCCCAGCTTTACATTCTCCCAGATGTTTCTTCCCACACTTGTTGCAAGTGGGGAAACTGTTGTTAACTTGCCCGGCGTTGTTCTTCTTCTGAGGTTGGCCTTTCTGGTTCCCTGGGTTGAAGTTCCCTTTCCTCTTATTCTGGCCTTGTCCTTGCTGCTTGTTACCTTGGCTTGGGTTACTATTCGGCCCTTTGGATTGGGTTTCCGGGTTTTGTTTCCCTTTAGCCTTTTCCTCTTTCTTGGCTTGGAAGAATTTAGCCCTTTCCTCCCTGTTTTGGTTAACCTAGTATTCTGCACGAATGGCTCGACCAACACAGTCTTCCACGGTCACAGGCGGTTTGCCTCCGCCACTAATCACCACTGCTAGGTCGGTTCGAAACATCTTCATCATCCTCCTGACCTCCTCCCGCTCTGAGGTCACCATGTGTGGGCATAGACGAGCTAGTTGCTTGAACTTCTGCACCGCATCTACCACGGACAAATTTCCTTGGCGAAAATTATTAAACTCATCCTCTTGGGCGGCCATGTTGTCTAAGTTGAAATACCTCTCATTAAATTCCTCAATGAAGTCTTGCCAAGTCATCTCATCGACATTCCTTTTTAGCTCCACCGTCTGCCACCATCGGCGGGCTTCCTTCTTGAGCATATAGGAGGCACACAGGACCTTTTCATGGTCATTCAACCTCATAAGGTTCAGGTCTACCTGAACATCAGTCAGCCAGTTGTCTGCTTCTATCGGGTCTGTGGAACCATGGAACTCTGGCGCCTTCATACGACGGAACCTTTCTAAGGTTGAGATCCAACGCCTATCCTCTGCTGGGTAATGGTCCTGTCCCTCAACTTCTACATGTGCGATCGGTGCAGGCGGTATCTCCTGACCGTTCTGACCGCCAGCTGCAGGGGGATCTTCCCGTGCAGGTGGGTCTTCATGGGCTGGTTCGCCTCCAGCTGGTGGTGCCTGATTCTGACGCGCTAGCTGTTCACGTAAGGCATTCATCTCTTGTTGCTGCGCTTGCAGCAACTGTCTCATTTCGGCCATCTGACCCGTCCAGTCAACCTCCGGCTGGTTTCGAGCCGCTTGTGCTCGTGGTCGAACCATGATCCTTCATTCAAGAAAGTACTATGTAAGTCGATATCTTTCAGTGTGTCTAAAATTATTTCTGTAGGCGGAATGTAGTCATATCGTGGTA